CAATATGGCCGACATTTGACCTTTCCGCGCCCATTACACGCACACGCACTGAATAGCAAAGTGAAAACGCAGCCCGCAGTACAATTGTGACAAAATGCAATTGAAAGTAAATATGTGAGTAGTAAATACGAAAGTTCGCGGATTTTTTGCGCCGGAAATATGCGTAAAAATGTATAAAAAACGCAGCGTAAAAAAATTATGAAAAATAGCGTCACAGCCTCGTGAACACTTTGGGTGAGGCTCAGGCAATTTCATTTCCTTTTATTTTATTTATTTGTGTTTTTTTTTGGAGGAAAAAAATTTTCGCACGGTCATTCAGTGATGACAAAATAAAACGCTGCAAAAAACCCAGCATCTCTGATATGCTTTGTATGGGGTTATGTAGAACAATAATGCTTCCGATACTGTGATGGACGTATTGTCAGTCAGTAAGTCATTTCAATGCAAGTCATGGAATTCGTAACATAAAATAAATGAAATGAAAAAAAAATAACAAAAAATTTCTGAAATTCATACTATTTCGATTTAAGTATTCCCACCAAATCGGTTCGCTTCTCTTCTATGTGAACATTAGTGCTGCTGAGAACGTTGACAACGGGAATTACACAAGAACTAAATCCTGGGAAACGTTCCCAAAGCGGACAAAATGCGAACAAAATTTCGGGGAACATTTTCAAGAGAACAAAATGGAAACCAAATTGTCCGGAACGTTCTGGCAATGTACAGAACGGAAAAAAAGTGTAAGGTACTTTCTCTCGAAGAACAATTTGGAAACTTAAGTCTCAGGAACGTTCTGAGAGAGAACGAAACAGGAACAAGTCTTCTCTGAACTATTCGGTAAGAATGGAAGCCAGAACAAAATTTTACTCATAGCGCTACATTAGTTTGAAATGTTTGAATATTAACTGAAAGATAATTGTGCAAATTAAGTCGACGAACTTTTCTTGCAACGAAACGAACTTTCGTGCAGAACGAAAGACACGAACTTTTCTTGTATAGGAAATGAAAAATTTTGCCATAAATGGACAGCTCACCCTAATGAAAAACGATAAGAAAGTTGAATTGAGCCAGCTTTCCTCTAGCTTAGAATTAACTGAAACGATTTTTCATCCCAAAACGCAGACACTCCTCTCATTCCTAACGTTGAGATCTTAGAACTTTTGTTCTCGATGTTTTCTCTAGCAAACCAGACTTTTGTTCTTATTTGATTCTGCCTGAAAACGTTTTCGATACATTCGTTCTTATGTTGTTTTCAATGGAAACGTTCCCGAAAGTTGCGTTTTCATTCTGTTTTATTGACAACGTTCTTGCGAGATTTATTCTAATTTTGGCCTTTTCGAGAACTTTCCCGAGAATTTGGTTCACATCTTCTTCTTTACGGAAACGTTCCCGAACCTTTTGTTCTCATTTTGTTCCCGTTCAAACTGCTGTTAGTACTTTTGTTCCCCTTTGGTTCTTTTGCGGAAACGTCCTTCACCTTACATTTTGCTCTCGTGCAGAACTAAAACCAAACGTCAACGCGTTCTCTATCCCTGCATAATATCCGTAAAAGCAAGAACAAAAAACATGCGCATTTTTTTTTTGTACTATTGCTACCTCTTTGTATGATTTCGCCTGTGGTTAAAACGTTTAGACATTGGCATTAGTCATTAATTTTTTAATAACCAAGTAATCTAGTATTTTTATTAATCAATAATGGTCAAAAGATTATTCGATTAGTTATATTGTGAATAACTCAGTGAGAGGGGAGACCAGTATTTGCGTATGTATTTATATAAAAAAATATTTATTGGACCAAAAAGTAGTGGGTAGGCACTGTGGCCAATGGTAATCAACTATTACCACCTCCGCATGGTTGTAAGCCATGCAGAGTCCGCAGAAGACTCCTGAAGCAGTGTCCGGAGGATGCATCAGACTAGGCCGAGCATACTTTGAAGTGCCATCTTATTGAAACTTAAGAAAGTTCAATTACTTGGCAGTTGAGAAGTGCATGTGCAAAAATTTCCTAAGTTGCATAAAGGAAATTTTTGCACATGCAGCAGTACATAGCATGTATTTAGGCGCCTGGTGTTAGCAGACGCGCCTAAACATATTGTTTCACTTAAAGCTAGCTCAGGTTATTTAAGGCCAGATTAAAATGATTGCCGTACTCGTAGACCACAAACGGTAGTAATTTGTGATACCACCATATCGATGGTTAAATATTGACAATTCATAACTGACATTTTTTCCGAAATTGAATTATATACATAAAACAATTGCTAATAAAATTTGCAATATGTTTGGCCATCGATATTTTAATGGTAACTGCTGAGCTATAAAAAACAGCGTTGTGTGTCAAGAATTGGTGTTGTGGCAGTGTTCTTTCAAAACACGCAACACGATTGAGAAGTCGACATTAAGGAGATACCTTGATCGCTGCCGGTTCTACCTCAGCCATGGTGACTTAGCGATTGGAGATGACCTGCCTTTAGTCGAGCGCTCGTTGTACTAAACGAAAGTTTTTATTGTGTCCAAGAAAAATCCGTAAGTCGTAAAAACCACTCGCACCCCCTCCTTCATCGGTAAGATAGTCTTGTGTGTATCGTTCCTAGCCAACTCATCCGCCTGCAGTTTCTACCATTTATCAAATAGCATAAAAATCGTCACCTATATTTGCTTTTAACTTTAACCCATTGGTGTACCAATATACACATCTGGCATGGGCTCGTTTGCACAGAGTTTTACTTTAAATTTTTCTGCTAAAGCAGACTTATTTTAGCAGTGACGTTTGATATTTCCATTGCATTTTCCATTTATCCTATCGGGAGCGAAACCAACTTTAAGAGTTTTTTAAATGACAGTCGTTTATAATATTTTGGGCACTAAACTATGGAAGCAACTTTATTAAAAGTTTTGTCCAAGTAGGAGTTCCAACTAAGCCTTTGATCAAAGTTTCCAAGATATTTGGCCTTATCAGATCATTCAGGTACCGCCCCTATCAAAGTATATCGTGAGTATCTTTAATAAAAGATTTTAAAAGCCGTACTGTAACGAGCAAAAATAAATGCAAAAAAACCGCAGTTTTCTATCCAAGCAGCCGCATTGGCCCACCGTTGACTTATAGACTAAACGAGTTGATTTTGAGGTCTGCAAATTATTATGGCAACTGAAACTCAACAGATCCGCTGTGATGTTTCAAAACAGGACTCAGTACTATTGATCTACAGCTTTATATCAACGCATGACAATTATCATAACTATTGCGCCTAAAATTATACCTCAAAACCTGGATTATATATAAAAATATATAAACATGTACATATTCTTAAATTTTTTGTACATCGGGCTTTATATTTATTAAAAAAGAAAATGAACCAAAATACACACTCAAGTTTTTCTCAGATGAAATTAGCTTGAGCCTTATAGGGCAATTCTGGCTAAGATAGTAAAAATCTTTCGTAAGACAAATGAAAGACAGATGGCAAGATAGTTCCAGATACTTTTGTTATTCTAACACAGCGCTAGTCGTGATGATCTATTTTGAGAGAAAATAATTGTATTCTATTTGAACAGAGCACAGGCGTCCCATTCGAGAGATACGAGTTCGGGTCCGCGGGCAGCTAATTTTATTTTTATTTTTTAATCAAGCATATATTTTTTATTTGGTTGTTCATTTTATGTATTTTTTTCTTTTTCAACTTAATTTTTTCATTCTTAATTTATTTTTGTTTTTACTTTTGATGTTATTCCTTTAACAAGAAGAATATTTTTTAATTTCATATGATTTTTTGGAAGTTATTTAATTTTACCCTTCTAGAGTTAATTATTTTTCATCTTTTAGTTAAAGAAAATTACTTTTTAGTTAAACTAAATTTTTAGAAACTTATTTTGTTTAGTTTCTTGTTTTAATTTGATTTGGTACTTTTTATTTAATTTGGTTTCTTTTTTGATTAAATTTTCTTTTAATTTTTGGACTTAGTTTTAAAATTAAAAATAATTGTTTCTTAATTTCAATGTGCTACTTTCTTTTTGATTTAATTTTTTTCTTTTTCTAATTTAATTTCTAGATTTACAGTCAATTTCACGAAAGTAATTTAAGTAAAAAATGATTTTAATTTTTTGAATTTTACATGGAAATTGACAGAAAATAAAAAATTATTGTCCATTTAAATTGCCGTTGATACCGGCTGTTAATAATTTTAAAAAGAAAAAAAAACATATTTCTTTTAATTTAACTTAATTTTTTAAAACATTTATATTTAGTTTTGATTTATTCCTATTTTATTTATTTTACTATTTGGCTTTTTTTATTAGTTTTTATTGTTTTAAAATCAAATATAATTATATGTTTTAATATAATATGATTTATAAACTTATTGCTAAAAACCGAAAGACAGTAGAGAGCTTTGCAGATAGTTGCCAGAAAGGCTTGTGTCTTTCGAAAGACTGGGGTGAGTTGAAACACAGTTGCCACAATTGCCCTCGATGAAACAGTCACAGATAACACCGTGCCATAATAAATTTTACACACACAAAAATTAATGCATATATTCGAGAAAATATAAACAAAATATAGTAAAACTGCGTTTTCCATTTTTCACTCTGACGTCAGGATTTTTTAAAAGGACTTTGAAATTTAAGAAATATGATTATTTCTAAAAAGTTATTACAAATATTCAGTGTAATGTAGAATTATAATGTATCAAATAAAATATAAAATCCTGTAAAATTACCAAAATATTAAAATTTTTGGTGCATAACTGCTTATTGGCTTATATGCAATATTTTTTCTAAGCTCCATTTTTTTCAAGAATTTAAGGTTTATTACCTGCATTTAACTATATTCGCATGGGTGTCAGTCACCACGCATTTATACATACGGTATTGCCATTTTCAAATTCTCGATTTTTCTTCTTCTATTTTAAATGCTCACTTTTTATTGAGTTAATTCCCTCGCATGTATCAGAGCCAAAAAATGTTGACTCATTCTTCTTTCTTTTTTACATTTAATTTAACAGGAGGCATGTCAAAATTACATTCGCATCATGGTGGTGACGTCGCCGGGTCGTTTATTTATATGTGGCACCAATTCATTTCGGCCCATGTGCAATACATACATAATCAACGACAATAACTATACCCAAGAGGCGAGCAAAAGCGGCCAAGCGGTATGTCCCTACGATCCGCATCACAATTCAACGTCAGTATTTGCTGGTAAGTACAATGAAAATATCACTACTACCAACTTGTATGTATATTATCCTTATATACGCGGCTATTTATGGGCCTACATACATATATGCATACATACAGTTGTGTTCAGTATAATAGTAACATTAAACAAATTTTTACACAATAATACGTAGAAAATTAGGTGGAAGATCAAGAAGATCAAGTTTATAGATGAGCAACGAGTGGCACACAATGGTATGTTAGAATTTGATTGGAAAACGCTCTATCTCTGCTGCCGATATTTTGAATTTACATTGAGTTTGGTTGTTCCTGAACCATTTGCTGAGTTAGGGCGTTTCCAAACCGGCTGCCTAGAGGCCGATCTTCCACTCAGCCGTCAAAATAAAGCAGTTCCTATTAATATGAACACAATTGTATATACTACTTTTTTCTTAGTTCATACAAACAAAAAAAAAGTAGAGTTGTATTGTGTATCCGCCGCATATGCACAAAAAACGTCAATGCTGCATGTTAACCGGCTTGCCCTTGTCGTTAGTTTTACATACACAAAACCCTTCTACTCTTCCTTGTGCTAACGCCATTTTCAGCGTAACGTTATCAACCAATTCACAAGTTAGCTTTTAACGTATGCAACGTCATGTTTTTTTCGTTAAAGTTTTTTTTCTTGGTTTTCACGTTTTTTTCCAGGTCTTTTTTCTTGTGTTCTTCATAAGTGGTTGTGTTAATTTTTTCGCTGATTTTTTTTTCCTGTGCGCCTTTATTTAGCGATAGTTGCTCTTTTCTTGTTCTTTTTTTTTTTGCTATTATTTGTTGCCACTATTGTCTATCTATTCTTTTCATTTTGTTTCATTTTATAACGTATCTTCTTCGTTTTTGTCTATTTGTTTGTTTTGCTTTCGTTTTTCAATTTTCTTTCTCTCTCACACTCCTCTGAGTCGCATTTTGTTTGTATTCGAATTCATGTACCATTCAAGGGTTCGAGTTTGGTTTTTGGTTCGCTTCATGCTGTTTGTGCCGCCACCGCTGCCGCCGCCGCCGCCGCCATCTATGTGCAACACTTTTCGCTCTTCTGTTCTTGCAAATTGATGCGCCATTTTGTTGCAATAACTGTGCATTCTTTATTGTCCTGTGCGCGGCTGGTGGAGGTATTCGCTGCTCAGCTTTTTTTCGCGTATGCCGTTAGCATTATTTTGTGGGTCGGTGTACCACCGATAGTTTTGCTATTATTCTTGTGCTCTAGAGTAGGGGAATTGTAGTGAACATACTTTTTCTAGCCGGGTTTTGGTTTTTCCCCCATTATTTTCACTTTGTTTCCGGTATTAAAATTTGTGTCTTGTTTGTTACCTCTTTTTTATGGGCCAATACCTTTGGTACTTCTCTGTTTTGTTATTTTATTTTCTTTTTGTTTTGTTTATAGTTTTGCAAATTTTGTCCTTTTATTTATTTTCATACAGTTTTTCAGTCCCTCTTCGCCACTTTTTCACTCATTTTTGGGTGTTTCAGATTTACCTTTTTCTATTACTATGGCGAGTAGATACGCGCTTTGTGAGTATTTTTAGCGCACAGGAATCGGATAAAAATTGTCATTCATCATCCGGCGCACTAGGACAGCCATACATGAGCCAAAACTAACTTTTTTTTTTTAGTTAAATATAAATGTATCTCGCACAACTACCAACTCGACAAACGTGTCCTCTTCATCCTATGTATGTATCTCTAAACCCCTTTTGCTTGTGCTCAGCACTACATTCAGACACTGTAGGGCTTATGGCCGGCCACCACGGCTTGTCACGGATACTGCTGTATACCGTTAACTTTTTTTTATGAAAATTTAAAATTTTTTTTTTTAACATCCGCATATTTTCTGGCCGCAATGATAAATTTGCTACGCAGATCAACGCTCTAACGCTTTTCGGAAACATATTGGTTGGTTAGTGGGCAAAGTGCGGTTGATTAAACGAATAGAAAAAAATAAATCAAATATACTTTCAGGTTAGTTTTAGCAGTTGAAACTACTGACAGCGGTCTATGCGCGCTATGCTATGCCATATTTAGTTGCATATTTATTTGTTAGATAATTTATTTTCACATTTGCTTGAGTTATTTTCTGTTTGTTTTTTATTTTATGGTGCACGACATTATTTTTTCGCACAATTTTTATTTGCCATAAATATTTTTATCACATTCAAATGGGGCCAATAACTATTTGTGGCCATTTCGGTTCCATTTCCTGGTGTTGGTGTTTTTTCTTCCTCGCTGACTGGCTGGCTGGCGCTGCAATGGCAACAGTAGCAGCGGATACACGCGTTTTTTTTTTTTTTGTTGCCTCGGTTGCTCGCTTGACTAGGATTTGATGATAATTTATGACCAAATAAATGTGAACACAAATCTGCATATCATGGACATGTTTCACATATGCAATTTCAGCTTGTATGTAGTTTGTAATGCTTATGAGTGTAAAGGAAGCGGCTGTTAACGTAAAATACAATTGTGTCAGAAAAAAAGCACATTACGACGGTAGTATACAGATATGTATATATGTGTGCGTGGGTGTAGTAATAACATGAAAAGGATCTTTATGTGAATGTGTAGTTCTCCTCTGCTGGTGGCAATACCCGATTAGAATGCAAAATATTCAAACTGATAAACATAAAATTTATTTATTTTATTTAGAAAAAAAAAATTCACAAAAAATGCCTTTGCGTATTACATATGTACATATATGGTGGCACACTTATCTCAAACAATGCATTATCTACAGTTTTGCCTAAAGAATAAGATTCCAAAGCGAAATCGTATTTAAATATAAACTTAAAAAAGATATACTAAGAAAGTCAAAATAACAACTAGCGTTCATACATATACCCGTAGTTCTGTAGGTAACGTACACGCCCCGTGACACCGTACACAGGCAGCTAACACGTTTACTCGCACGCCTTAACTTAAAAGCCATAGATTTAACTTAAAAGTATTGGCGTGCAAGATTTTTACACCGTATTCCTTATGTACATATATATATATATAGGATGAAATTCGCCAAGAACTTAGAAAATTTAATAGCCTTTACTTGTGCCAAAAAGAAATTTAAAATTCACCAACTATGTACATTCAAAGAAAATTGCAATTAAGTGAGAGCACTTTTTTCAGATCCCAAAAACTCGAAATTTGTATACATCTCAAAAATTGTTATACTTTCTTGATTCTGATTTCGTATTCGGATGCAGCGGAAAATTTTACATTAGAATGCATATACAAATGTCGCTTGTCGGACAATTTTTTCAACTAAACAGGTTGCAGCCCTACTAAAAAATAATAAAATAAATATTAGGGCGGGTAAAATTTTTTGCATCAAAGGCGCATCGCGATTATGGTTATTTGGGTAATTTCAAGCATTTTTGCCCAAGAAACCACAGGCCTAAATGAATTTCAAGCCATTAGTTTTGTTTCAAAAAGTGGCTCAGCTAATGAAACAGCTCTATTGAAAACTAGCCAAAATGTGTATCTGGGGGTTTTCGGGGTCGAGGAATCCATTTGGGGCATTAGTTTTTCCTTTTGAGGGCCGCCAGAGGACGCTTCCGTACTTTTGTAGGATTTTAACGCCTTTTTCCGAAAATCGACAGCATTGTTGCGCAAAACCAAGAATTTTGACTTTCTCATTTCGGTAAGATATCTCAATTTTTACTCGAGTTATCGTGTGCACAGACGGACGGACGGACAGACAGTCACCGCTTAATCGATTTCTCTTTTCATTCTGATCATTTATGTATACATTTGTCTATATCTATCTCGATTCGTTTTGCCTGTTACAAACAACCGTTATGTGAACAAAGTTATAATACCCTTGTGCACAAGTGCGCTCGGGTATAAAAAAAATCGACAAACTTTCGTAAAAATTTCGAACTTTCTATTTCAATTGTATCTCTTAACCCTCTAGTAGGCTGAACCGCCTCCAGACGGTCGTTAACTAAACACCTTTTTAGTGCACCTATAATAACTTGTTTCTATATTCGTAAGGCACGATCTTTAGACAAAAATCGTACCGCGAAGTAAATTTGAATCCGTTTTGTCAATCCATTTTAGATTGTGAAAGACACGGTTAAAATTAATTATTTTTTGCTATTTAGTAATTTCGTAATTAAAGAAATTTTTTCTTTTGAAAAATTTTTTGATATAAAAAAATTCGGTATATTTCGTAGTTAAAAGCACCGTATTTTGATATAAGTTTTATAATTTTGTCACCATTCGAAATGGAGAAAATTGCTTTCGAACGCAGACCGTCTACAGACCGGCTTGCCGACATATAAAAACCCAGTTTGCATTTTTAACCGTCTGCAGACGCGATTGCCGGTTCATAGGTCAACATTGTGTAAGAGAAAGCTGAAAATATGTCAAAGTATATGGCGAGCCCGTCATAATTTTTGAATTTCTCGTGCTAAAATCACCCATTCCTGAATTTTTCAACTCATAAAAAATTGGCCTACTAGAGGGTTAAATGTTTCTCCTAAATTGGTCGATGGACTTGATTGATCCGTTACTAGGCGAAGTAAATTTGAAAGAGTTGTTGAGCTAAGAATTGTTTATTTATTTTTTTTTTGTTTGGTTTCGTTCACAAACTATAAAATTACATTCAAATCTAATCAAATTGAGCACACAAATATCTTAAAAAAGATCGTATTTGATACAAATTTGATAATTGGAAATAAATATCGAATAACAATATTTCAACATTTAAAATATCGACACATCCATGCATTTTTTTCTAGAAAAATATTGCTATTTTTATATCTCGATATTTTTTACCCAAGCGCCTATTTTGGAAAGTGAAGTAAAATGAAGTGACGAAGTGGCGGCTTCCAAAATGTGAGGTGAAAAACTTCAATTGAAGTGACAGCGACAGCACTGAGAAATGAGTTCAAAAAGCGCTCACTGAACATGTTTACTGAGCGCTGAGTGTGCTGAACGCACCCAATGAAATAGTGCCCCGCTTTCTTATAGGTCACTGCTTAAATACTGACACACTA